GCCTGGTCTCAGGATCTGCTGAGGGAAACGACCTTATCTGGTCAACCCAGACACTTCAGAGTCCGCCTGCTCACTCACATGGGTCTACGGATACCCACACCTTTTCCCACAAAACAGGTCAAGCTGGGGAGAGTGTGCTTGGCTTAAAGTCACACTCCGTTTGGATGCGCATCCTGCTCAAGGCTGGGCTTCTACAGCGCCGAATAGTAGCAAGAAGGGTGAAATCCACGCTCTTCTCTGGATGAGTCCAGAGACCAGGGAGGTTGGCAAGCTCTTGGGTCTGGGTCCCCCAAGTCCGCGTCTTGACTCTTTGGTGCCACGTCCAGAGTCTCTATTGAAAAGCAAGTTGTTGTTTTTTCCCTCCAGAAAAAAGGGAGCAGGTGGGTTTGTGGGTCCCGAGTGGCGAGTGGCATCTGAGTCACTGAAAAAATAACCAGAGTGGAGTCTGAGTTGCGTCCCCAGGTCCAACTGAAGCCTGACTGGACAGGAAGTCAGCTCAAGTCTCCATCCCTGCCCGAGACGGACAGAAAGATGGCTGGGTCCCCCAAGTCCGCGTCTTGACTCTTTGGTGCCACGTCCAGAGTCTCTATTGAAAAGCAAGTTGTTGTTTTTTCCCTCCAGAAAAAAGGGAGCAGGTGGGTTTGTGGGTCCCGAGTGGCGAGTGGCATCTGAGTCACTGAAAAAATAACCAGAGTGGAGTCTGAGTTGCGTCCCCAGGTCCAACTGAAGCCTGACTGGACAGAAAGTCAGCTCAACACACACACACACACACATGCAGACGGCCACCCCTTATTCTGCTGCTGCTGGATGCATGTATGTACATACACACACACACACACACACACACACACACACACACACACAGATGGACACCCCTTTCCCCCTGCTGGAGATGACAGAATCTGGAGGGAAGAGCTTTGTCAAAGGACCCGCCTGCAGGATGGCATCGGGAGCCTCCTTCCCCTTCTCCTCTCCTGCTAGAATTCTGTTAGGGAGGCGTCTCACTTCCCCAGTATCTTAAGGGCTGCTCCAGTGCCCTTGGGCTTTTGCACTCTTATCCTGCTGCTGCTGGATGCTGTGTTTTCTAGTCCTTTAAGCATTTTCCCCAGTTTCAGCATCATATTTTATGTGACAACTGAGTTTGGAGGAATCAAAACTTTTTTTTTTTTTTTTTGGACTGCAGTTCTCAGAATTCTCCAGCAGCCACTGGCACGTGCTCGCTGAAGGGTTCTGGGAATTGTAGTCCAAATAGGGGTGCCAATGTGTAAGGTCTAGTCCTGCAAAACCAAGCTCAGAATTACTAATTGGGGGTCATCGTAAGGCTCATTCACCCTTCTTTTGCATTCTTTTAGAAAGGGGATACAGTATTTTTAAAAAATGGGGATGAGATGTTTCTCCAGAGCAAGGGAATATCATGAGAGCAAGAATGAATGATCAATAACAGAAACAATAAAAAATCAGCTACTGGATTATTGACAAAAAGATGTTGGCGGGACCCAAGAAGGCACAGTGTTAGTTGACAGATTCCTCTCCTTTTTTCTCATCCATCTTGCCGTTCTCCAATATGGTGCAGCTCTATCTTGCTTGGCGATATCGGCTACCGGCTTCCTTGGAGCAGGAGGGACTTGATGGTCTTCAGAAGCACCTCCTCAGTCCCAGCAGGCTGGAGAGGACTCAACCACCTGGTGTGAATCCTCTGCTACTGGTGTGAGGAGCCTACGGGTCTCTAGGCGTCAGGAGCTAGAACTCCCACAATCCTTTACTGAGACTGCAGAAAGTTAAGATTTTTGAACGGCAGTGTTCAGAATTCTTCAACCAGCATGGAATTGGTAACAACAGCGGAGAAGCCCAGGAAGCAATAGTCCAAAAAAGTAACTTCTCCACTCCTAACATGAGAGCCATTCAGGACCGGCAGCTTTTTATGGCTTGTGCATGTGGTTGGTTTTACCAGCATTTTGGACTGGAGCCTTCTGGGTCATCTCCTTACACAGTCCAAGGTCTTCTGTAGGGAAACCTTCTGTGTTTGACAACCTAACTCCTTTGTCACCAAAACTGGAAGTGGTTTAACCCACATTGCACAAGAACTGAACATTTTGGTCCTCCAAAGTCGCCTTTTGCTGCAGAATTCACTAAGCTATGAGATGCCCATTTTCTAACCCATCTGCCTGAGCCACTGGCCATGGACAATACAGTATTTTATTTTTGTTCTCTCAACCAACCAACCAAGCAAGCAACCAAGCAAGCAAGCAACCAACCAACCAACCAAACCAACCAACCCCAGCAGGAACAAAATTTATCCCAATATGTTTAACTTCATGCCAGTGGGGTACTTTTTATGGTCTACATGACTGTACACTCCATTTTTCAATGGCCGATGATGTCAAGAAGCAGCCCATTCTCCTTGTCAGCAGGTTGTCCCCAGGAATGGGTGGGTGGAAGGGAGATGATGAGTAATGACATCAGAATTTTCACACACTTTTGAAAATGCAAGGCATGCAGATTGAGCCACAACTCTGCTGGGGCACAATGAAATTCTCATACACCTGGGGGGGGCACCTGAGAACTTATTTGGAGCAAGCTTTTTTTATTTTGGTTATTGGGGGTTAAAAGAGGCATTGCTGCTGCAGTGATGCATAAAACCACCCCACTTTCATGTTGTTGTTGTTTTTTGAAAAACAGGTTTTGCAGGTTTGAGTAGTATTGCCCCAACCTGTCAAATCTGTTTCGCCTGAGGTGACAGGGAGAAAAGAGGTGTTGGTGGGAAAAGTGATCCTCCCCTCAACCCACTTTGTTTCTCTTGTTTTATTTCCAGCTGCTTATGCTTGTCATTGTAAGCCTAAAAAAATGGGGCTTTGTTGTCTGGGCATCTCCTTCCGGTGGGTTGCAGAAGGACCAGGCAGGTGAGGGCCCCTTGGGACTATCAGAAGCCACCAAAGCAAAACCAAGGATGTTGCCTGTTCCCATGATATGTGTTGCCGTTGCTATGTGCTGTCAAGTCACCTGCAACTTAAGGCAGTCCTAGGAATGAGCAATCTCCAAAGTGTCCTGTTCCTCAACAGCTCTGTTCAGCTTCTTTTAGACTCAAGGTTGTGGCTTCCTTTAGGGAGTCTGTTCATCTCATGCTTGGCCTTCCTCTTTTCCTGCTGCCTTCCACCTTTCCCAGCATTATGGACTTTTCCAGGACAATCCTGCCTTCTCACGAGGTGCCCAAAGTAAGACTGGCTTAGGTTCAATCTGTCTGCCTCCAGATACAAATCAAAGCTCTCATCCAGCACCAGAGTTCAAATGAATCTCTCTCTCCCCTCCACCCCACCTTCAGCTTTCTTTACTGTCCTGTTATTCACGCCCACATATGGTGCCAGGGAAAACAAGGACTAGGGATGAACTTGGTTTTGGTCTCCAGTGGCACGTCCTGACACTTGAATCTTTTCTAATTCTTTCATTGTTTCCCTTCCTAGTCTCAGTCTTCTGATTTCTTGGCTGCCATCTCCCTTTGGATTGATGATTGAACAAGGAATGTTATTTAAATTATATTTTTGCACTATGATTCTTTTTCTGTTCTGTTTCAGCTTTATTCTAATGTTGGATATTAACAGTTCATGATCAGCCCCACAATCTGGTCCTGGTCTTGTTTTGGAATAGAGAATACATCTTCTCCATTTCCTGCTTCCAATTATGTAGACTATTTTACTTTAATATTGACTGTCTGGTGGTATTCATGTATACACTGTCTGTTTGGTTGGTTGGTTGGTTGGCTTGGCAGTGTTCTGTGAGTTGTTCTCCTGCTTCATTTCTGTTCCCAAGGCCAAATTTTCCAGCAACATTTGGTTCTGCTATGTTCCCTTCTTTTATGTTCCGGCCACCTATTGTAATAGCTTAAATATATCTTGTTTTGGAGTGTGATCAATTTCCTCTTGGATCCTTGTGTAAAAGCTTTCAGTTTCATCTTCTTCAGCATTGGTAGTTGGAGCACAGACTTTAATGATGGCTATGTTGATACCTTTTCCATGGAGTCTCATTGGGTCAGACTGAGTATTATAGTCCCCAACTGCCTGAGCTATATCTTGCTTCAGGCTTAGAGCCACTCCATTTCGTGATGGATGCAGTCAATGTTTCTATTTAACTGCCATCTCAAGAGAAAAATGAAGTTAAAAGGTACTCTGGAATGCACATTTGGGGATGGGGGGGGGCAGCCCTGTTGTCTGTCACCTCTTTCAGTAAAGCCCATGAAGAATTCTGTGGCATCCTAGAGACTTGCAGATTTTACCTGGCACCAGTTTTTCATGAGGTGGAACCTTTATCAGTTTTGCTCTGATATGCATTTTACCAGAACTAGGAGAAGTTCCTGGTTTGTATTGTTTTGGGGGGTTTTTGGGAGGGCAGTGGCAGGACTGATTCCGGGAATCTGGTAACCCTAGTTGAGAAAACCCAGTTATTCCACTCCGACCCTTTCCTCCCTCTTTGTTCTCAGCCTGGCCTCCTGTTCCGTTCTACCTAGGATTTCCTTGAAGAGTCTGCCTTACGGGGGAAAGGGGGGTCTTGATGCTGCCCCCCCACCCTGTCCGCCCATCTTGTTATGTCTGTCTTGAGCATCTGGCACATTTCTGCT